ATCAGAATACATAGTCAGAATATAGATAACGATGTGGCTCATTTGTGTGTGCTATATTCATTTTTTTGAATCTAACAATTTCGCTTTTAAACAGTTATACTCGTCTTATAGCTATAGACAACGGATACTGTTTTTTAAACTAATTATTTCTAGAACTTCGTGTTATCGAATTTTTGGTTTATTGATGAGGCCCATTGGGCCTGAAATTTACAACTTATTATATTCCAGCAAGCCTATAGAAAAGTGCATGTAAGCAAGAAACTGTCAACAGTGGTAATGTATAATGACCTACAAACTTCGCTTTGCTTACATCTTAACGTCTAGTCACTGGCTGCATGCAAATGCATAGTGTTTCGATACTTTGTCTGAGTTCCGTCTCCATTAAAAAACTTGACGAAAATCGCTTCAATATGCAGTGATTCACACAGTTCGGACCAGGGATGACGACTTGTTTGTCTTACACTGGGCACACAACATAAGCCTTTGATGCTTATTACAGATGATATACCTTACTTGCTCCTTAATTAAATTGACAGCTTTAACACACAGTTATGATGCCTTTCGTATACTGGTCCTGACAGAATGCAATTTGAAGGATACGAATACTGTAATTTTGGAAGATAACAACTAGACAACTCTAACACCGGCGGTCCGTTTAAATAATAAATGTCCGAACGTTTGGCCAATCAGCTGCGTGTTAAGAGTATCGACTTTGCTGTTTAGGCGTTGCGCGGGTTTGTTTGACAGTTCACTATGCGTACATTGTAGTTTTGATTTTTACTTTGCAAACATAATTTGCCCGATATCTTTTTTACGTTAACCAAAGATTTTGCCGCGGTCTGCTAATGCTCTCATTCACGACCATCGTCTTCAAAATTTTGAAGAGCAAGTTGCCTAGACACTTTAGAGTGAACCGAACCTTTTGGTGGGATCATAACACGGGTATCTTGAGGGCATAATTAGTTCCTTTACAGATCCCTGAAGGTATTATAGATCAACTTATTTCCGTGTGCCTCATTGGACCTCTCCGCGAGTTTAGAGTTTCAACAGCTGTAAGAATGTCAGCAGCTGCACTACCTTCTGTGTATTTTCTTCGCGAACATTTGTTTTATCAGTTTAGTCGAGTGATAAAGGCGTCTTAATTATTGTCATTATCTCAAGAAATCTTAAATGCACCAAAGTCGTCTATTATTGTAATTTCAGTCTGTTGAACTCAGTCCTCCTATAGGATATACTTTCCACGTAATATTATGTTTTCATAAAAGCCTAATACTACTTGGAAAGGTTATCCCCCTTCCGACCTCCCAGCTCACCTTATCCTTCTTAAGACCGCAAATGCCATATGACATATTTGACATCTCTGAATAAAGGAATTCTGTTTCCTCCATAATCTTGCTCGTACTATAAGGGCTTTTCTGACCCAACAATTCACTTTTAAAGGTAAAGATCAGTTTCCTATCATAATAAATCTCAATTAACTGATAACCCCAAAGGAAAAAAGCTTAATATTTGCACGTCAACGACGGACGGTAGGTGCTTCCGCTGGCAAAGGGTGAAGGTTTGAAAACTGCAAATAATGCCAGAGCATATAGTCTCAACCCGGTTTCACAGATGACACTGCTGGAATACCATTGGCTTTTTGTTCGTTTTTGATTTGCATTTTGCGATATGTTTTTTGTTCATGCATAAGTGAATGCTTCTCTTTACTCCTTCAGACTTGAATGAATAATTATATCCTGATCTATTTTGAGATTGAGCTTTGACACTCAGTGCAACTCTCCTTTTTATTTTGTGGGTCATGTGCTGTATTATCTTTTTGACGGACATAATCCCCAATCAACTTTCTCGTCTCGAGCAAAATGAAATGCATGTTTATGGGTGCTCTAAACTACTTACTGTCTACCAGCCTAGAATATTAAACATTTGTAGTGACTGCCGAATTCACAGATCTCAAACTTTAAAATAACGTTTGATTTGTTGAAGACCTTCATACAAGTAACAGTTAGGGTTTTATAAACGGGTCTTCGACTTTCTTATTGTCAAAACCGCAAGTCTTTCTCAAGCTCACGATCTGCTAACGGTGTTTTAGAAAAATAACACGATCCGCTCTTCTGCTATCCACAATGGATGTTACGCCCAGCTCGGCGGATGATCGGAAGGTTCCATCCATTGCTGTCTCGCAGCATGGACCGCAGACGGGAATTGAGAACCACCCACCTCCCACTCCACTCATTAAAAATAAAAACTACGCCGGCCCACCCATTCCTCTGAAGGAAAAACGTCATTCCTCTTCCATTTATAATGTCAGCCAGGATCGTCATCTTATCCAGCTGCCTCTCATTAAGGGTAAGTACAGTCACGTGATACTTGTACTTATAGAGCGCTAATTGTA